GCTGGACGCGGAGGGTGGCCGGGGGGCCGCGGGGCCTGCCTGGGCAGGGCCATGGGGGGGCTCGCTGCCCCTGACGCCCCCCCCATCCTCCCAGACGGATCCTGAAGTGCTCCCCTCCCTCCCCCCCCCGGATCGGGCCTGTGGCACAGGACCTGCTGCAACGCCTGCTTTGCAAGGACCCCAAGAAGCGACTGGGCGCGGGGCCCCAGGGCGTACAAGAAGTCAAGGGCCACCCCTTCTTCCAGGTGAGGCTCTGGACTCCGGGGCCCTCGCACCTGCACCCACCCAGGCAGGGCTGCGGCTCCGGGCTGGAGCACCGTGGGGGAAAGGTCTGAGCCAGGCCAGTTTCCTTTTTTCTGGAAAACCCCTCGATACAGAAAGCACATGCAAGCCCAAACCCACATCCACCCACATCGAGACTTGGCAGATGCGTTCCTGGAGAGAATTCTAGGTTCGTGGGCCGTCGGGGCTGGCAGGGACTTGAGAACAGACCGATTGGTTCTCTCACTGGACAGACCCAGAGACAGCAGGTGACCTGCCCCGATGACACAGTGCACAGCGCAGAGCTGGGAACAGACCTCAGCTCTAGACAGGCCTGCCGTCAGCCCTGATCGGTATTGAAACTCACACGCGGTGGCTCTTAGCGTCCGCACGGGCGTTTTGGTTCTCTGTCCCTGTGCAGTCTGTGTGCCTGCTGTTCAAACCGAGGGCTGGCCAGCCCACGTGGGTTTTTGCTGCCTGGTTAAGAACGCGCACACGTTAGAGTGCCGTGCAGAGTGAATTCTGCCTCAGGGTGAGACCGTGTGGACGCAGGTGCTGTGTGTGGCAAGCATCGTTGCCAAGCAGGACCCTGTGGTAGTGAACACCTACTGTGTGTCGGCCCTTTACTTACAGTCGGTCACGCCCTGACGGTCCACATCCTTATGGATGAGGAAGCTGAGGTTAATTTGCTCAGGGTCACCCAACCAGGAAATGAGGGTGCTTGGATTCACACCCTTTGTCTCTGTCTCTCTCTCTTTTTTGACTTGGAGTCTAACTCTGTCACCCAGGCTGGAGTGCAATGACGCAATCACAACTCACTGCAGCCTTGGCCTCCTAGGCTCAGGCGATCCTTCCACCTCAGCCTCCTGAGAAGCAGGGACTACAGGTGCATGCCACCAAGCCTGGCTAATTTTTTAAATTTTTTGTAGAGCCGGGCGAGGTGGCTCATGCCTGTCATCCTAGCACTTTGGGAGGCAGAGGTGAGAGGATTGCCTGAGCCCACGGGTTCGAGACCAGCCCGGGCAACTCGCCTCTACAATAAATTGAAAAATTAGCTGGATGTGGTGGCACATGCCTGTAGTTCCAGCTACTTGGAAGGCTGGGGTGGAGGGATCGCCGGAGCCCAGCAGTTCGGGGATGCAGTGGCCGTGAGCGTGGCACTGCACTCCAGCCTGGGTGACAGAGTGAGACTCCGACTCCAAAAAATAAAACAGAAAACAGAAAAAAAAACTTCTTTTGTAGAGACAGGGTCTCATGTTGCCCAGGCTGGTCTTGAACTTCTGGGCTCAGGCAATCCTCTCGCCTTGGCCTCCCAAAGTGCCGGGGCTACAGGCGTGAGCCCCCATGCCTGGCTTTGCCTGTGCTCTTACCTTCTTGTGTTCTGTTCAAACACGGGCATCAGATTTGCCACTGGTTTTCGACATCGTGGCAAAAACACCCACTTATGGGCGCTTATTGGGAGCCAGGCAAGTTACCCATGAGGCGAGTGGCACCTCCTTGAATCTTCCCAGCAAGTGCCCGGAAAGGACTTCCCCAGGTGCTTTCTCAGATGGGAAACTAAGCTTCTGAGGCAGAGCTGTCTCTCTGCAGGGTTGGGGTGGGAGAGGGTTTGGGGAATTGGCGGAGTAGCCTCGGTTTCCTTCAGCAAATTCCTCAAGCCCTCCCTGAGCCCATGCTGGGCATTCAGTGCTAGAGGAGGTTGACCAGTTGTACTGGCGCGACCTCAAGGCTGTCACGACCTGCCGCTTGGCAGGGGGCTTCCTTTCATTCTGCCTTCTCCCGGGGTAGCCTCTTTGGGGACAGCCAGGCCTGAGGCCCCTGGTGGCAGAATCTGGGCCTTCAAGCCCGGGTCAGCCCTCTTGGCTGCAGGTGACCGCAAGTCTAACTCAAAACGGCGGCAACCACTGGTATAAAGTTTGGCGGCTAGCCGCAAGGACCTGAATGAACAGTGACCTCATCAAGATAGAGGTTTACTTGTTTTTCTTCTTCTTTTTTTTTTTTTTGAGTTGGAGTCTCACTCTGTCGCCCAGACTGGAGTGCAGTGGCCGCTCCCGGCCACCGCAGCCTCGCATGCTGGGCTCTGGCAATCCTTCAGCCTCAGCCTTCCGAGTAGCTGGAATTACAGGCACGCGCTACCACACCCGGCTGATTTTTTGATTTATTGTAGAGATGAGGTCTCGCCGCCCAGGCGGGTTTCGAACCCGTGGGCTCGGGCAGTCCACTCACCTCAGCCTCCCAAAGGCACGGGATTACAGGCTGAGCCACTGAGCCCGGCTGTTTTTCTTCTTACCTCTATGAAGTCCAGAGGTTGGCAGACCAGGGTTTCTGTGGGGTCTTCACAGTGTCACGTTGTCTCCAGGAATCCAATTTTTTAAGATTTTATTTTATTATTCTCAAATTTTAATGTATTTATGTAATTAATTTTATTTTTGAGTTGGGGTCTGACTCTGTTGCCCAGGTTGGAGTGCAGTGGCACGCTCCTGGCCACTGCAGCCTCGACTTGCTGTGCTCCGGCGATCCTTCCACCTCAGCCTTCCAAGGAGCTGGAACTACAGACACATGCCATCACTCCCAGCTAGTTTTCTTTTTTTGTGATTTATTATAGAGACGAGGTCTCGCCAAGTTGCCCAAGCTGGTCTCGAACCACCGTGCTCAGGCAGTCCTCTCGCCTCCACTTCCCAAAGTGCTGGGATTACAGGCTGAGCCACTGTGACTGGCCTGTTTTTATTTTTTTGAGTTGGAGTCTTGCTCTGTGACCCAGGCTGGAGTGCAGTGGCATGCTCACGGCCACTGCAGTCTTGACCTGCTGGGCTCAGGTGGTCCTTCCGCCTCAGCCTTCCAAGTAGCTGGAACTCCAGGCATGTGCCACCATGCCTGGCTGATTTTTCTGATTTATTATAGAGTCGAGTTTTCACCATGTTACTCAGGCTGGTCTTGAACCCCTGAGTTCAGGTAATCCTCTCACCTCCGCCTCCCAAAGTGCTGGGATTACAGGGGTGAGTCACTGCGCTTGGCTTCTTTTTATTTTATTTTTATTTTTTTG